ACCCTTGGTCGTTTCCCTGCTGTCGTTCTGGGCACACTTTGGCGATGTGACCTTCACCGCCACACACAAAACATCGACAGCGATTCAGACGGCACCGGTTACGGACATGACCGGCACGGCCACAACAGTGACACGTCACTGAAGCAGCGGCGTCACCTCTCGGACGCTGGACACGGTTGGGACGGTTGGACACGTTTGGGTTCATCTGGGCCTGGTGCGTCACTGCAGCCAGGCGGGCCTCAAGCTCAGAGACACGTTTGTTCAGAGCATCGACAACAGACTGTTCAGACTCAAGAACACGGACTGGTTTCACAGATGACTGAGAGCCTGGAGCACGCTGGTCGGGAGACACAGCGGAAGCAAGCGGGGATGATGCAGCACCGATCGTTACTCGTGAACACTGAATATTGCGCACCTTAGTGACGGCAGAGTCAAAGGAAGAAATGCCGTCGGCAATTACGGCAGTGTAATACTCCTGCGGAAGCGTAGCGAGGAAGTGACTGAACAGGAGAGGAGTGAGGTCATCTACAGTAGGGAAGGCCAGCTTCATCAGTTTTTTGAAACGAATGACAAATGCATCCAGGGGCTCCTCTGCACTGTAGCGCAAGTTCCGAAGCGCCAAATGGTGGTCAGTCACCGACGCCTTGGTAAAGGCCGACTGTAGCCCCTCAACCACACCAGAAAATGAACCAAGCTGGGACGCAGGCAGCCCATCGTACGCATCGCGAGCAATGCCAGTCAAAGTCAGTGGCAAAACGTCAAGTTTGCGTCGCTCATCCCACCCCTGAATACGAGCATAGCGGTCATAATCCTCCAAATACCGGCGCAGAGATCCATCCCCATTAAAACGCGGCAAAGAAACAAAAGACGACATCGCAATGTCAGCGGGGTCACGCACTGTGGATCTAACAGCCATTTCAGAACCAGAGTCCAGACCAGGTGGCTTTACATCATCCGACATCGTAATGAAATGCAACAAATACACAAAAAAAATCCGGAAAATGAGTACGACTGGGAAAGGATAGGATACAGGCAAATGATCGTTTCTCACATATGAAAGGACCAGGAAAAATAAAGGCACCTACACATGAAAGGATATTACACGGAAAGGATGTAACTTTTTTAACTTTTCTTGAGATAAAAAGCGTTATAACTTTTCTTCCATAAAAAACGACGATCAACGATGAGCCACAGCGGTGCAGAAATCAGTGAAAGTTCAGTTCAGTGAGGCAGTGAACGAGGCCTCAGTCACTCGACGAATTTCACAGAAACTGCGCGACTCACTGCCACTGTGCAGTCATTGTCCGGAACCGAGACAGTTTTTACGAGCGACATGTTGAATATGCGCACACGGGTCATGGAGCAGCGTGTCACCAACCTCAATGGACGAAAGCTCGAAGTTGACCTGTCTCATGGCGCAGTCTCGAAGATGTTGCAGTGCAGACGGTGTGGTAGCTGGCCACCGCAGCTGTGGTAGTCTCATCTGGCTTCATCATAGCCAGCAAGCAAGCCAGCTCAATCTTCACTGTCTCGCAGTCGCCACGCATCAAGCGGGCCAAAATGTCAGTGCAAAGGGCACAGAAAATAATCGGCTTTACTTTTTCTCACTTTGTAGCGGCGCTCAAAAGGCATGGTCTTGCGATAGACACGCACCGCTGCCACCAATGTAGACTGTGGTTGTGTCTTAGGTCCGAAAGCCGATATTTAAAATCACATGTTTGCTATATTAGGCAAAACAAACCAAAAACATGCACACGTCCGGCCGGCCCCCGCTCTGCCGACTCTCTCCTCTGGTCTCCGGTCAGCTGTCGCTGCCCAAGCGGGAAGCGGGGTGGCGTTGCCCTAGCAACAGTTGCTAGGAGACGGCCGACGGCCTCCTCCCGCGGACGGATGCGGGCGGCGAAACTCAGCCGTCTATAAATATACAACATACAATATACGACAGAGCTGGCCGCCAAAGACGGCATCCTCCGATCTCTCATTCACTTACTTATTCCGGCTCTGGCGGCCACCCCTTTTTCCACGCGCGGACGCCGCAGCGCCGCCTCCCCGCCGACGGTTGCCACCATCGACGCTACTGGGCGTGGGCGGGGAGCCGCTCCCCAGAACAGACGAACCAGGGTCAGCCTCGATGCTCAACGAGGTAGACGAGGCCTCCACCCCCAGCGACGGCTCAGAACTCGGTGGAACCGCTGCAGAACCCGCACCCGGCGCCGGCCCCGCAGCGCCAGATACCTCCATCGGTGGCTCCGAAGCGCCAGCCCGCGACACCGCCGGTCCCGAAGCGTCAGCCCCCGACACCGCCGGCCGCAAAGCGCTGTCTCCCGACTCCGGCGGCTGCGAAGCGCCAGCTCCCAATACCGCCGGCCAAGAAGCGCCAGCCCCCGACCCCGGCGGCACCGAAGCGCCAGCGCCCACCGGCTCCGCAGCAACAGCTCCCGGCGGCGCAAGCCCAGGGCCAGCGCCGCTCCCTCCAGGGGTAGAGGCGAGACCTCCCGGCGGCGGGGCACGCGTGACAGAGCCCTCTCCGGACTCTCCCAGGCCCCGCGCCGGGCTCCCTCCGCGGCACCGCCGCGTCCATCGCGCCGGTCACAGGCAAGGCAGGGGCGGACCCAGCGCCCGGCGCTGGGGCGGCGGTACCTCCGCTCTGCTGCAGAGCACTTAGGACGTCCGGATCGTCACCGAAGATGTCTCGTAAGCTGTTCAAGGAGTGGATCTTGATCGTAGGCCCGCGCTCCCTCGTCCGGATCTTGATCTGGCAATTGTTGGTCCAGGGCCCAGGCTGAATGGATCTTGCCCTTACGGCGGAGCTGACGGTCAGGGTAGGTTGGTCAGGTCAGGTTCTCAGCAATGAACGTCTGAGCTAGGACTTGCTGCGTCAGGTTCGGGTGATGCTGCACTCGTCCTGCTTTCAGATTCCTTCTTCCTTCAAGAAGTTCTTGTCTCTTGTTGAAGGAGACGAACTTGGCTATTATCTGTCGTGGCTTGCCTCGTCTCAGCTGGTCGACCCGGTGAGAGCGATCTAGATCCGCCGCTGTCAGTGTGATCCCAGCGGCCCTGGCTAGATCTATCACAAGGGCGTCCGTGTTTTCACGCTCGTCTCCGGCACACCACTGATCACTACAGTAGTGTGTTCCTCCTGGAGTACTGCTCCATGGCATCCATCTCTCGAGGCGGCCAGCTGAGCTCTAAGCTGCTCGATCACACGTTAATTTGTTTCCCGAGCCTCTATTACAGGCACAACACCCCGTTCCGCGTCCCGCGACCGACCGCCCGCTCGCCGCGGCGCGCCCACTCCCCAGCCGCCGCCAGCCGGGCGGCGGCGCCGCGACCACTCGCCGGGCCGCGCCACGGGCGGCGCCAGGCGCTCGCCCAGGGGCGGCCCGCGCCACGGGCGGCGCCGGGCGCCCGCCCAGGGGCGGCCCGTAACACCCCTCCCCCCTAGCACAACGCGCACGATGTAACAACGATGATCCGCACAAGAAATACCGCGAACATGTCTCCCCGCGACACGAACAAACAACCACGCCTCGCCACAAAACCAGGCTGCTTCCTCGCGCCGGCCGCGCAGGGGAGGGTAAGCACCGGGATGGTCCGCCACACATTGAGTCACCGAGCTGCTACGGCTATGCCTCAACAGTCAACAGTATCATACACAGCCGCCTCCATACTACTACTGAGTCGAGCCGCTCCTTGCTCGCTTAACGAAACAAAAAAAAAGGTACTTGCGCCGCCCCAGAACGAAAGTGAGACACCTCAACACCAAAAGAACACACACATTCAGCCGCTGCTACATACATGTACGGATGCACGGGCCGCCACCCGAACGACCGCCTTCACCACCTGCCCTACACCCGTTAACGCATGCGGAGCCACTTGGGGAATGACAAACTGATGCACCCGTAGCCCCTCTTGTTCAGATGTACGCCGTCCGCGAGATGGAGCCCCTCTGCCACCTTATACACCCGTCGCTTGCCGTGGCGGCAACAGAGTCGCCGCCCCAGCGGGATGACGGCAGCTCCCGTAGCCTTCTTGATTTGGCGGAGAGACTTCTCGAGTTCATAGGCTTGCGTCTCTTCCCATTGTCGGCCCCGATCCCGGGACAGCCGCGGCTGGGTGCCCACGAGTGTGACGTGCACTCCCATCCTCTGTATTTCTCCGATCCGGTCCTGAACTTCTTTCATCAACCGCGTCTTCATCCCCTCTGGTAGTTTGATGGCGTCCTTCGGGTACACATCGTTTCCTCCTACCCACAGGATTACTTGGGCACTGGAGGTGTCAGGATGAAGGCCATCCAACCACCTCCGCACCTCCATGACCCCCTCAGCCACCCAGCGGCGCAGTGTGTACCCCGGTATGGCCCGGATGGTGAGGCTTCGGGGTGGGTCGCAACGGACGTCTGTTCTGTGCAGGATCGAGTCCCCGATGAGAAGGACGGCTTCCGCGCGACCAGCCTCCGGCGAACCGCCGGACGCCCCGTCGGCCTCACCAACTACCACCTCCTCCGGCGACCCGTCTGTGGGCGTCTCCTCCCGCGGCTTCTCGTCCTGCAGCTCCATGTTCGAAAACTCCTCGAACTCTTGCGCCTCGACACCCAGCAGCTCACTTAGCAGGTCCGTTGTGTCAGTCTCCACCAGGTCGACCGCCAGCGGAGACAGATGGTCACGCACAGGATCTCCTGCGCCCGCCTCTAGCAGGGTAGTCACGAACGGGGGTGTGGAGACACCGGCTAACACGGCGGACGTCGGAGACAGCGGCGGCAGATACTCTACAGACCGCTGCGCATCACCCGTGAGCAAGCCGGTCGTCGTCGATGGTCCACCAACCGCTCCGGCGCCGATGGGGAGCGCGATGTCCTCCTGCTGCTGGACAGCCTCCAGGGCGGCACGTACTTCGGCCACTTCCCGCCGCCTCTGCTCCCTCTCCTCTTCGAGGGCCGACCATAGGCGATCGATCTCCTGCCGCATGCGCTCCATCTGAAACTAGAAAGCTGGACTCATTCATCGTCCCGCCTGATAGTATGCGGGCGGCCTTGACACCCGCCCGGTTCGCGTTATGTAGTACCCTTGGGGTGTCCCACCCTGCCGCTCCCGATGGGTCCCTCCGGCGGACCCGCCGGCCCTTACGAATGGCATGAATGGTACTTGTAAGCCAGTTGTGTGATCCTCATTGGGTATCCACTCCCGGATCCCCGTGTCATGTTCCTGAGTCATTTCCTTAGTCATATCTGGTCCCTGAGTGTGGCGCTTGGTAGTCCCTTCCTGAATGCCAGACACCCGTGGCACAAACTCCTTCAGGTCATTGTAGTGAACCTGACGTACTTTGCCGCGCTCGTCCTGAATTTTATATGTTGTTTCATCTCGCCCCCCACGGTTACCGATGATGGTCACCGGTCCCTTATACGGCAGACCCAGTTTCGGCTTCCCGCCGACGGCGGCCGTGTGATCTCGCACCCACACTTTCGTTCCTGTAGGATAGGCAGTGTGATTGACTCTGCTATCGTGGCGAACCGCCATCCGAGCAGCTGCTTTGGACGTGGCTTCTTTGACACGAGCATATGCCCGTTTCATTGTCTTCAGCCGACTGTTAAGGAACGTCCTGGTCGGGATTGGGTCAGTTTCGGGGCCATACACCACGTCCAGCGGTACCCGAGGCTCGAAGCCATGAATCAAATAGAATGGGGTGTACCCGGTAGTTTCGTGGAGGGACGAGTTGTACGCCATGGCGTAGGACATGACTCCCTCATCCCAGCTCAAGCCTTGGCCATCGACGTATTTCGAAACCATGTCCTTTAGTGTACGCATGAAGCGCTCGACCATGCCGTCGCTCTGCGGGTGATAGGGTGTTGTCCTAGTCTTGTGGATACCGAGTCTCGTATACATCTCCTTCATCATCAGAGACTCAAACTGTGCGCCCTGATCAGTGTGTAGCCTCTCCGGGACACCAAGCTCTTGGACCCAGTCTAGGAAGGCATCCATGACTGTCTCCGTCTTCTGATTTGGCATTGGGTAAATTCTCACGTACTTTGAAAAGTAATCCATGATCACGAGTGCGTATTTGTTTCCTTTTGAGGAAAGAGGCATCTCCGTGATGTCCATGGCAACCCTCTCAAAGGGGCGAGACGTCACCTCAGTCACCAATGGTGCACGCCTGCTCGGGGCAGGCCTACAGCGTCGCTGACATTGTGTGCACGAGGCGCAGTAGCTGCGGACGTCCTCGTTCATCCCCGGCCACACGAATCGGGCTTTTACCCGAGCGATGGTCCGCCTCCGACCCATGTGACCACTGGATTTGTCATCGTGGGCGAGTCTGATGATTTCAGCTTGAATTGCCTTGGGCACGGCCGCCTGGAAACGTTGCTTGCTGGCAATTCCTAACACTCCTGAGCGAACCTCTACTTGTCCCCAGTGCTTCTTCAAGACGGCCCAACCGCTCGTCTCTGTGGATTTAGGCATCCTCCCCTCCTCCCTTGCCCGACACAACGCCGATAACGTTGGATCGTCTTGTTGGGCCTCCAGCAGCAGCGACTCGGTTGATCGTTTCTCCCCGACTGCGGAGGGGGGCGTCAACGTCTTTGTCGCCGGGTTCACCCTGTCTGTCGGCCCTGACGATAATGTGGCGGGTGCTACAGAGGTGATCACGGAATATGGTGACCCTCCTACCCCAGAGATCGCCGCATTCCCTGTCGGCGAAGCCGCCGTGGACCGTGACGGTGTTGGCGAACCGCCAGCCGTCGGGACTGATCCGCCCTTTGCTCGCGACATGCCGGCATCCCCAGCCAGACCACCATTGCCCTCATCGACGGACACCCCAGATGGCCTCCTCGATAGTGCATCCGCATTGCCATGCCTCACCCCACTGCGGATCCGAACCATGAAGTCGAAGGAGCTTAGCTCGACCGCCCAGCGTCCTCGACGTCCTGTGCCATCACGTTCCACCGAGATCGAATCAGGGATGTTTGCCAGAGGTTCGTGGTCAGTCACTACCTCGAACTTGGCTCCAACTGTATATTGCCGGAAATGTCTGATGCCGTGGACCACAGCCCAGAGCTCTTTGTCGTAGGTGGGCCATTTCACCTGCTGCTTCGACAGCGCCTTACTCTCATAGGCGACCACCCGCTCATACTCCCCTGTCTTCTCAGTCAAGACAACGCCAACCGCGAAGTTGCAGGCATCGGTGTACAGGACAAACGTCCCCTTGCCAGTTGGTAGCGTCAGGATCGGCGGCGTGGCCAGGACGGACTTAAGCTGCTCGAAGGCTCCTCGCATCGCTTCCGTCCACCTGATTTGACCGTCCGCCACCGTGGCGTCTCGCAGAGGCTTTGTGATTGCCGCATATCCTTGGATGAAGCGTGCGTAGTACCCGCACAGACCGAGAAAACTCCTCATCTCTTCGTCGGATGATGGATGTGGCCATGCCAGTACCTTTTCCACGTTACGTGGATCTGGCCGGATTCCCTCTTCGGAGACTAGGTGGCCGAGGAACGTCACTTCTTTGCGAGCGAAGCGACATTTTTGCGCCTTGAGCTTCAGTCCCGCCGCTCGGATCCGCTCGAACACCTCTTGTAGAGTGGCCAGATGCTCTTCCTCCGTCCTGTTGAACAGGATGACGTCATCCAGGTACACTAGGCAACTTTTTGTGTCCAGACCCGCCAGGATCATTTCCATCAACTTCTGGAACGTGCCGCTCGCATTCTTCAGGCCCATTGCCATCACTCTGAAGTGATGTAGCCCCTTGCCCGTCGAAAACGCCGTCTTTTCTCGATCCTCAGGTGCCAACTCCACCTGCCAATATCCCGTGGCCATATCCAGCGTGGTGAACCACCTCGCTTTAGCCAGGGTGTCGAGAGAGTCGTCAATTCGAGGGAGTGGCATCGCGAAGCCTTTCGTCACTCTGTTCACTGCTCTCAGGTCAACACAGAAGCGGAAGGTTCCGTCCTTCTTGCGAACCAGTACCACTGGAGAGCACCAGGGACTTTCGCTTTCTTCGATGATCCCATCCTGTAGCATCTTCTCCTTCTGCTTCTCCACCTGGTCACGCACCTTCAGCGGCACCCGCCGTGGTCTTTGTTTGATGGGACTAGCATCACCAGTATCGATCTTGTGTCTGGTTAGATTCGTCTGACCAATATCTCCGGGACGCCAGCTGAAGACATCGGCATATTTCTCGAACAAGCCGCGCAGCCTCCCCTGACCATGTTCCCCGAGATCAGTCAGACCGGGTTCCAGCGCCTGCTTCACGTCCGGATCGATATCTTCAGCTGCCTCCGGTGGAAAACCTCCACCTTCGCAGCTCGCCACCGCGTCAACCACGTCGTCCGGCTCTGGACACAGTTCACACATGTCTCCCAACGAGTCTCCCATCGAGAAGAATGTTCCCACGTCTGAGCCTTTCAGCAGTCGAACGTCTTCTGTCCCGACGTTCGAAAATTGAATGGGCACTGTGCCGTCGGTCGCGACAGCAACAACAGCTCTCGGTATCAACAGTGAGTCCCAGTCGGCTGCAGGGCTCGGCTCCACCATCCCGGTCATGGGCGTCTCTGCCACAGCTACGCCGGATCCATCCAGCGGTTCAACCACCGCTGCAGCTGTCAGGATTGAGCGACCCGGAATAGTCACCGTCTCTGCCAGAACAACCTTAGCTCGGGAAGCTCGAATCTCTGGGTACGTGGGAAGGGAAATTTTCAACCCTTTGATACGAAAAACTCCCTCTTCGTCATCGATGATGGTGCGATGCTGACAACAGAAATCTCGACCGAGAATCACGTCATACACCAGACCAGCCACCGCTGCCAGTCGAGAACATCCGAATGTCTCTCCGGAGATCGACATCGGGACATCACAGAGTACCTCCGTGATCACCAGCGGACTCCCACCCGCTCCCTTCGCAGACCGCGAAGGGGTGGTTGACTTACAGCCCAACTCCACCTTGATGCGCTGATGTAAGCCGCACCTCACCATCGAGAAATCTGCGCCAGAATCAATGAGTGCCCACGCCTCAAGACTACCGATTTTCACCCTGACGGCGGCTGCGGTGAACCGGGACTGGTGAGAAGCAGCTGACTCTCGCCCCACTGAACCAGCTGCCCCTAGTTTTCCGGCTGCCTGTTGTCAGTGGACTTCGTTGGTGCAGTCTGCCGTCTGCCCTGCGCTGAACGGGTCACGTGGTCCGTGAGAGAACGGCAAGCCGCCATCCAGTGACCGCTGCGACCACAGGCTAGACAGAACGGGTGACGTGGACCCCTCCCAGGCTCCTTGAACGGACAGTCAATCCGAATGTGTCCCCTTTCTCCACAGCAGAAACAAATGACGTCACCGGTACCAGACCTCGGCTGAGCGCGGCGAGCCGCCGGGCAGTCTCGTCGCATATGCCCTGGCGCTCCACACCTGTAACAAGATATGTCTCTCGACAGCTCTGAACCTGTTCGGGAGCTGGCAGCAGCTACTAGTGTCTCCATCGAATACCTGAGATTGGCTATCTCCTGTTCCAACTGAGCTACCCGGCCGTCGCTGCAGCTTGCGTCGACCCGGTCTGGCTCAGCGTCAACCGCCGCCACCGCCGACCGAACGCCTGAACAGCCTTGCTGAGTCACAGGTGACTGGCCAGCCGCCCGCACCGCCTGGACCACCTCCTGGCGCTTGTTCAGCTCGTTCACGATAGACACTGCTTCGGACAGGGACCCTGGCCTCCGGTGACACAATTTGGCCTGAAGCCACTCATCCCGCAGCCCACAGATGAGTCGGCTCGCCAAATCCTCATCTAGAAACTTTCTCGGTTCAGTCGAGCCGGACCCTTTCGACCCGGGCGCTGCCGCCTGTGATGGAAATGCGGCTCGGCCGAGTTTCCCGATGCGGTCTGCAAAATTTGCCACCGTCTCTCCTGGTGCTTGACGCACCCCACCGAGCGCTGCCCGCGCCTCCAGTGGATCGACGGATCTACCGAAACGCTCACCCAGGTGCTTCCGTACCTCGCAGTACGATTTGTTAAGTTTCAACTGTGATTGCGCACAATCCGAGGCCAGACCGTCCAACAACGGCAGGAGACGTTTTAACCGTCCCTCGTCCTCGTGCTCAGACGTCAGCGCCTCAAACCGTGCTATCCATCCCTCCCAGTCATCCGTGTCCAGCCCCGCGAACCGCGGAGTGCGTGATACCAGGATGGTGTCATTAAAGTCCATCGCCGGACTGTCCCTGGGGCCCCGAAATATATGCAAAAAAATATTACAGCTGACCCTTCCACGCAGTGCAATTGTGATGTGGCCTTGTATTTAATGTCGACTGCCGTGTGGACCACACGGCGACAAAAAATCACGCCGAGCAAACCGCTCGTCGATGCCACTTAACCAAAATAAGTCATTGATAACATCCGCCGTGTGATCCACAAGGCGAGAAAAAAAAAATATGCTGAGCGAGCCGCTCATCAACAGACACGCAATACCAATAACGGCAATTCAAATAAAAATAATAGCACCAATCCTGAATTCATGTGGCTTACCTCTAGTGGTGTCCTACCGACCGCGCCAATATTACAGGCACAACACCCCGTTCCGCGTCCCGCGACCGACCGCCCGCTCGCCGCGGCGCGCCCACTCCCCAGCCGCCGCCAGCCGGGCGGCGGCGCCGCGACCACTCGCCGGGCCGCGCCACGGGCGGCGCCAGGCGCTCGCCCAGGGGCGGCCCGCGCCACGGGCGGCGCCGGGCGCCCGCCCAGGGGCGGCCCGTAACACCTCTGCCACGTACCGATTGACGAGTGGTGCCAACAGCTTCTCCTGGAGATGAATATCTCGTCTTCGAAACACGTTAATATGATGCTTTTCACATTGTCGGGCTCCATATTGAGCTCCGTGACACACCGCCCGCCACCGATCACTCACTATTTAGGCTGTTCACTGTTCTGGCCGTTTCTCACTGACACAGCACCGATACAGCACTGGGCGAGCTGGGGCCGTGAGCGCAGGGTCGCGGTTTTGCGTCCGACCCGGGCGGAGGTCAGTCGCAGACTTCTCGCATTTGGCTAAAAGTCCTGCATGCCATATTTTCTCGAAGTATCTGCTTATGTCTAAGTAAATTGTCGTTAAGTCTTGTCCTTTGTCGAGAGAATGATACAGTCTGTCTGTTAAGTACGACAACAGCAGCAGGAGACCAAGACGGCGGGCACGGCACTGGTGACGGTGACGGGTACCAGTGTCACCCACTATGGTCGAGTCTGCGTGTCCGGTGTCGTGGCTTACCTACAAGCACGAACGTTTTCTTGCGCGGCTTTTTGGAAAACTCTGCAGTGCGGTCTAGGAGTGAACTCTGCAGTTTTTAAAAACTCGTCATTTCTTTCCATGCAACGACATAATATGAGGACGCCTTTAGGGCCCAAAGGGAGCGCCCCAAATTAAAAGGTACAGGGTAATGGGCTTAACCTGAATGCCCGCGTATGCTGGATACGCCTCTGCTCTGGAGGCTGAGGGGCACCATGTTTTTTTCTTAATGGGGCGCCCAAGCGCCTGTGATCTTTAATGGGGCGCGTGTTACGCTTTGCAGATCAGCATCCTTGGTGTTGACTTGTGTGCCGAGTGCTCTGCCCCCTGGAAGGGGCGCCATCGTTCAGAGGGGCGCCGAATGTTCTTGAGAGTGCCAGTAATATTGAATGGGGGCGCCAGATGTTCTGGAGGGGCTTCAGTGATATTGAATGGTGTGCCGGATGCTCTGAATGGGACGCCAGCGATAATGAATGGGGCGCCCACTCGCCCGTGAACTTCAATGGGGTGCCTGATACGTTTATGAGGCGTGTCGGTGGTGTTGAATGGCGTTCCGAGTGATCAAGAAGGGGCGACATTTTTCGGAAGGGACACGTCATATACTCTGGATGGTGCGCATTTAATACTGCATGCGCGGATCCAGGGGGCGGCGGGGGTAGCCCCCCCCCGGCAAAGTGGCGCCCTTTCAGCTGTCCGGTGCTCGGCGCCGTCTGGCGCCGGGCACCGGATAACGTATATAAGGCGCGCTTTAGCACTACTTATACCCACGACCCATGCACCGGCGCCCCACACAAACCTCAAACGCAACAGTAGCTGGTAGTGGAATTGCATACCTAACATAAATCCCTGTGGCGCTCTTTCAGATCCCGCCATCGCCCCTGTCAGCATTATATGTGCACCATCTAGATGTACATATATGTACATATATGACGTGTCCCTTCCGAAAAATGTCGCCCCTTCTTGATCACTCGGAACGCCATTCAACACCACCGACACGCCTCATAAACGTATCAGGCACCCCATTGAAGTTCACGGGCGAGTGGGCGCCCCATTCATTATCGCTGGCGTCCCATTCAGAGCATCCGGCACACCATTCAATATCACTGAAGCCCCTCCAGAACATCCGGCGCCCCCATTCAATATTACTGGCACCTCTCAAGAACATTCGGCGCCCCTCTGAACGATGGCGCCCCTTCCAGGGGGCAGAGCACTCGGCACACAAGTCAACACCACGGATGCTGATCTGAGATAGAGCTTAGCGGTAAGGACCAAAAAGATTTTTTTGGGAAGAGACGAATCCAATGATACCCAGTTTTACCTTCTCAGGTCAGTCATTGACCTTCCAGGTCAGGTCAAACTAAAGAATGTTGCTGTTTTGGGTCACCGTTGGCTATCAAGTGCGCTGCTTATCATTTACCGATGACGATGCCGTTTTCTGGTGCCAAGCCAGCTAGAACCTCTTTGTCACACTACCCGACTAGGTTTATGCTGCTGAGGTCATTTCAGGTCAAGTTAGGTCAATGTCAATTATATGTGTTTGTATGTCTGTGTGTGTCTGTGTGTATACTGATGAATGCACCGGTTGTTTATGTGTCCATATTACATGAAATCATGATCTGAGAAGCTTTTACCAAAAATGCAGTCAAAAACTTCACAAAAAGTAAATTCCGCTTGCCTAAAACGCAATTATCTTAGATGACCTCGGTTGACCTTGACCTTGACATTTGTACATCGTCGAACAACATGTTCGATGATAGGTGGGAGGTAAGACTGATAAAAAAGGCCGAAATCAAGGTGTCAAAAGCTCACAAGGCCCATAGCCAACGCAAGATGTTGAGAATTGGCCATTTGGGTCATGACATGACCTGAAAAACAAGGTCATATCTCCGAAACCGAAAACCACAGAAACTTGAAATTTTCAGTGGACATCAAGAAAGGATAGAGGAGCAGCTATACGAAAAATCATCCTTCTAGCTCTAAAAATGTTGAGTGCAGAGTAGAAAGACTACCTGGGGGGGTGGCAACCCCCCCCCCCATGTGCGGGCGAGGGTTAAGAAAAAAAAAACAGGGTGCCCCTCAGCCTCCAGAGCAGAGGCGTAACCAGGATACGCGGGAATTCAGGTCAAGTCCATTGTCCTGTACCTTTTAATTTGGGGCGCCCCCTTTGGGCCCTAAAGGCGTCCTCATATTATGTCGTTGCATAGAAAGAAATGTTTTTAAAAATTGCGGAGTTCACTCCTAGACCGCACTACAGAGTCTGCCAAAAAGCCGCGCAAGAAAACGTTCGTGCTTGTATGTAGGTAAGCCACGACACCGGACACGCAGACTCGACCATAGTGGGTGACACCGGTACCCGTCACCGTCACCAGTGCCGTGCCCGCCGTCTTGGTCTCCTGCTGCTGTTGTCGTTCGTAGTTATCTGTTTGCCGCCGCCGCAGTATTGAGTCGAAATTAATATACATATGCACATGCATGTTAAAGCTAGGTACTAATCTATTTGTCTCAATCAGCATTTAGGCATCATGAAAAAAAAAAAACAGATTAAGTGATCGTGAACAATGCGTGGAAATCAAACGATGCATTACAAAATCGGGAGTGGGGGGTAGGGAGGGGGAGGGGTGTGGGGGGGGGGGCGATGGCAAAGACAAGTTTGTTCATCTCTTGCTTGGGCAGCATTTGATTCGTGGTGATATTGTGCCAACGAACGCCGCTGCCAGGACAATGCAGCTAACACCGGCATTGCAGTCTCCATTATGCCCTATGAGGCAAACTTCGAGGCCTTTGAGGCAGACGCAAACGTTGAGCTAGGAAGCTGAAATTTTGCATACTTCTTATTGGGCCAACAAGCAATGCACATTGCCCCAACAGACGGTAAATAACTTTTGAAAATACCAATTTCCAATTTTAGTGTTTTCTGGACCAAATTTTTGCGAGGAATCCGATGGTGTGGTCCCCGAAATCTGAAAAATTTCCATTTTGGAGATAGCACCTATTTTTTGAAAAATAAATATTCGTCAGGCTTAATAGTCAAATAAATTGGAAATATAACGAGTTAATTTTTGTAACAACACTGGAATGTGTCGAACATGAATAAGAGATATATTTTAGCTGAGATGATACTATATCTGAGCATACATGTACATGAACTAGTACATTAACCCTCGCCGGCCGAGAAGGGGTGGGGCGGGTGCCGCCTAATAGGGCTTTTCGCGATAGCTTAACCCTCGCATGTGTAGGGGGGGGGGGTCGGATGGACCCCCCCATGGTTTTTCGCGAATAACTCGCGTAAAAGCGGCCGATCGCGACGAAACTTTCAGTACCCTCGCATTGATCAATTTTACACCTACCCTGAAAATTTCATGACCCTGACCCAAATGACCTTTGACCTGTGACCTCTTTTCCGAGACCATGTTTGGCCGGAATCGCGATTTCGCGTATGTCGGCTCGCACTAGCCGCGTGTTTGCAAGCTTTTCGTGGTTTCAAACGTTCCAACATGTGATTTGATGTTACTGCCGTGTGTGTCAAGGTCACCTGAAGGTCAGGTCAGGTCATTGACCTTTGGTGACCTTGGGTGACCTCGGGTCACTTTTTCGAGTTGTACATGTTTCTAGGCTAGTTTTTGGAGCTGAATTCGAATTTAGCAACCATTTGAACATTTACGAAGTAGTTTTGGTGACTTCGTAACATGTTACGAAGCTGTCAGAGGCGGTTGACACGTACTACGAATACCCGTCACGACGCCTACTGGTTGACCTGACCTGACCTGACCCGACCTGGTCTAAATGCTTCAAGACATCATCTGTGATCAAAACTAACACGATATTCGTGATCAGCACCCCGAAAAACCCCTTAGCAGCCACACTTTACGACTTTCTAACAGGTCCCGATTTTCCCGACTTTGGGTCATTGACCTGACCTGGAAGGTCAATCAATGACCTAGGACCTTAAAATGGGTATCATCGGCTTCCTCTCGTCACGGGCAACTCGCTTGTTTTTTTCCGCGAAGCTCTAGCTCGATCACGGGCCAAACGGCAAGGGGGGGTCCAACCGACCCCCCCCCCCCCCTACACATTAGAAGCTGGCAAACGCCGCACACATGCGAGGGTTAAAACTCGCTTGGGGTAGACAGCTGAAACTTGGCATACCTAATCTTTTATTCAAGCTGGATCTTTTGACCTTAACTGCGTTTTCAGGTCAGGTCAGGTCACTGACCTATGACGTCATAAATGAGCCTCTGCGAGGTCCTCAGATGTTGCAACTTTGCAACGCCCTCAGTGCCAGAGGAACTTTCACAGGAAGATGAAACTTACAGGACGTAGTATCCTTCAGAGGTCTCACAACTTGTATATCTCGGATTTAACCTAAATGTCACATGAGGTCAGGTCGGTCACGTGACTTCACCATTATAAGTCAATGTGGGAAATATGAAAACTGTTATTTTGGCGCCGGAAATGATCTAAAACTGTCCCAAGCACATGAAATCGTGGTTTCATGTACTCTTTGTAAGGTCCGATCATGAAACCACGATTTCATGTGCTTGGGATAGTTTTAGATCATTACCGGCGCCAAAATAACAGTTTTCGTATTTCCCACATTGACTTATAGTGGTGAGGTCACGTGACCGACCTGACCTCATGTGACATTTAGGTTAAATCCGAGATATTCAAGTTGTAAGACCTCTGAAGGATACTACGTCCTGTAAGTTTTATCTTCCTGTGAAAGTTCCTCTGGCACTGAGGGCGTTGCAAAGTTGCAACACTGAGGACCTCGCAGAGGCTCATTTATGACGTCATAGGTCAGTGACCTGACCTGACCTGAAAACGCAGTTGAGGTCAAAAGATCCAGCTTGAATAAAAGATTAGGTATGCCAAGTTTCAGCTGTCTACCCTAAGCGAGTTTTAAGCTATCGCGAAAAGCCCTATTAGGCGGCACCCGCCCCACCCCTTCTCGGCCGACGAGGGTTAATGTACTAGTTCATGTACATGTATGCGCAGACATAGTATCATCTCAGCTAAAATATATCTCTAATTCATGCTCGACAGATTCTAGTGTTGTTACAAAAATTAACTCATTATATTTCCAATTTATTTGACTATTAAGCCTGACGAATATTTATTTTTCAAAAAATAGGTGCTATCTCCAAAATGGAAATTTTTCAGATTTCGGGGACCACACCATCGGATTCCTCGCATAATTTTGGTCCAGAAAACATTAAAATTGGAAATTGGTATTTTCAAAAGTTATTTACCGTCTGTTGGGGCAATGTGAATGGGAAAACACCAGGGGAGCTGGTCTTCCAAAAACTTTGTAAAATTTGACGGGGCCTAATCAGGGTCTGTTGTTCTGTCCCACAACTATGCTTCAGGATTTGGCATTAGATGTCTACACTGCTTCTATTCTGGTTCGTTGTTTATGTTTTCTGTTCATGTAGGTACCTACCCATCTTTCTTAACCCCTTGCAAGGGCTTGTGTAGGCATGCTTCATGAGCTTGAGAATTTATAGCCCATTGCAATGTGCTTTTGGCTATATGTTTTAACTAAAAACAACTTATTATATACTATCTGGTTGCATTGCATTGAAAGTATCCACGGCCGGCTGATGGCTGGCTGCCCACAGTTTGCCACGGCTGTGGGCGGCTGTGGCTGTGGAGCCACATCTGCGGGGCGGCTAGGCTGTGGAAAATTGCAGCCATGCAGAACTCTACCTCCAGCCCAGTTGCCTCAAAGTTGCCTAACTATACGGGAGATGTGGGCCCTACGGGCTGTTTTTGTGGCACTTCAATCAAGCAACGCAATCAAAAAGGTAATTCGTGTTAGGTGAGCAGCTCCTTTTGCACGCCTGAATCAAAAACCTCGCTACGGCAAGTGCCTTTGCAAGTTCAGAAATACCGTTGCAAAGTTTCGCTCTGCAAAGACAAAAGCATTGGATCGGCTTGCACATTCATTTGCAAGAACCGTGCCGGGGACTTTGACCTTGCGGGAGCAAAGTGCCGCCCCTATCGCATAGTTGCACGCGGTATGAGGTAAAATGGCGCGCGCTACCGTTCCACGCTCAACGGAGGGACTGGCATTGACAGTTCTGCACATGGAGATTCGGCACTACGGGATCAGCTATGTGGTCACGACCGGACCCCGCCCTTGGGCCGGTCAGAGGAGGTATATATAGCCCGGCAGTGGACGGCTAGAGCGCAGTCAGCTCTCAGCGGCCATAGCAACCGTCACCATGATCAAGGTAAGTCAAATAAACCCGCATAGAAACTGAATGAGAGAAATCCTAAGTTTTTTCAGTTCTGAGACGAGGATTGATTTCATCTGCCGCGATACATAGGTGTGCTGCAACCCGAATCATATTGATCATTGACACATTAGAAATTTAAAGGAAAGGCAAGCCACATCTCATTTGTATGAATGTACAGTCATCACAAATTTTCCAAGCTTCAACAGCGAGTTGATAAAGGAGTTACTTATTAGTTATTTCATAGTTACTCAATTACCTACACGTCTTAATTTAAAACTGAAGCATATTTCAAACTGTTTGGTTATTTGTAATGCGTAATGCCTAGTGCTTAATTAGCTTAAGGTTTGCGTTTGAGGCCCTCCTAGCTACTATGTAGAGAACTATGTAGCATGTAATCATTGTTTTTTATTAATTGTTCTTTATTAATTTATTAAAAGTAGGCAGCGCGTCCTTAATCCTTTTATACCGAATCAACTTATGATGGCGTAGCGAGAACTGCGCCCTAGACTACTTAGAAAATGCGAATGGGGATAGCCGTATGTTACGCTTTACAACATCCTTTTTCAATGTGTTTTCAGTTCGCCGTTCTCTCCCTGTTCGTGGCCGCTGCTGCTGCCAGCGGAGGTGGCCAGAGCCACGTCCACGTGTCAACGTAAGGAAACATAAACAGCGATTTCCGTTGGTTCTTCCTGCTTACCGTGCTCAGCGGACTCAGCCTGCACAAGTTCTTGTATTTGGGCCCGGTGCGATTTCCATAAGGGAGGTTTTTATTTAACGTCAGAGAGGGTATAATATTGAAGTTCTATCGACGAAAATTTCCAAACATTTTACTTACTAAAGAAACATGGCACGATATAAACGCCAATTTTTCTTTGCTATAATTCAGATTTCATTGATTTTGTGAGTGATGTTGTCACCCGGTGGCTAAACCAGACTTAACACAGGACTTAACACAGAAGCATGAACCAAACAACTGACATATTTCTCATATTCCAGTGCCACGCCGTACGGAAGCTCGTCGTACGGATCTGAAGTGTACCACCCTCAGTACGTGTAAGTAAACATTAATATGTATAAGCACTTATGCAAATAACAAGAGTTCCGCGAGAGACAAGCCAATAAGAACTCCAGCATATGAGTAAGGGAACGAGCCTCGACAGTGTAGAACATTAAGGTCTCCAGTCTTAGCTTGTATATCTAATATGTTAATTATATCCAACGTAGATTAATAATTATTACACTATTGCATACAACGTTCAAACACTTTTCTATCTCACGTTAGTGAAATAAACTTACAATTCTGAATGAGCATGTTAACAGTATAAGAGAGCATTTCCATAACAACCCCAGATAAGTGTTCACGTAAATGTGAAGGGGTAACCAATGGCTTGTTTTCAGGTCCGGTGGATACGGTGGATACGGTAAATTCGCTGGAGGATCCGGTCGGATCTACGCCCAGGGAGAAGGGATCGGACTCAGCCAGGGTGGTGGATACGGCGGTGGATACGGTGGATACGGACAACAAGGATACGGACGCGGCGGACTCAGCGGATACCAGTACGGATACAGCGCTGACGTCGGAAACGGATACGGACAGGGCGCCATCGGAGGTGGATACGGCGGACCCATCGGCGGACCCATCGGCGTAGCTGGTGGATATGGTAGCGGATATGGAATTTATTAAAACAAAATTGTGATCTGAACACTCTCATACTGCCACAATCAAATGTTTCAGGATATTCGTAATCTTGCAAAAGTGTGCATGCTTCAATGTTTCTCATAGCTACGATAATACGATAATACATTGCCACGACTACTTTGATTTGTCTTGCTCAAGGAACCATGAAATGAACAGATATTGACCAACCAATCATGCACTTAGCGACATAAACAAGAAACATTTCATCGAAAAAGAAGCCAGTTTTACCAACATCAAAATAGCCGCCTGCCGGTTTTCTTTTCGCCTTAACCCGCGAGTTGCTAGGGGGGGGGGGAGGCGTTAAACGCCCCCACTTTTTTCGCCGCGCCATAGCATAATAACGGCGCGCCAAGATTTGGGTACCTGTAGGCTATCAATTGAAGTTTATTGTGACAATGTTTCAAAAAAGGAAAAATTTTTAGATCGAGGTTTTAGTTACGTCATGATTTCTGAGTTTTCGACCAAAAACGGCATATGTTCAAAAAATCACATAAAATCACAAAATAGACATACAGACATGCCGTAAACGCCATTAAACTGCCGATACCATAAACAATCAAATGGCTATCTTCGATTATTGATTATCGTTCCGCATTTTCCAAAATCTTGAATTGAATCTTAGCAATTTTTCGTGACTACTTCACGACCATGATAAATGCATTTCTTAAAGGGACTGTCCCACCTTTGCATTAGTTCTGAGTTGAGATAGCCAAGTTGGCGGTCAGGTTCAGAAACCACTATATATCCTGGTCGCAATATCCTCAGTTTCGTGGTGTTAAGGAAATTCGTTCCCTTCATTTCAAAAGTGGGCCTTAGCTAAGGCCCTATCTCTTAACCCTCGCCCGCACATGGGGGGGGGGGGTTGCCACCCCCCCAGGCAGTCTTTCTGCTCTGCACTCAACATTTTTAGAGCTAGAAGGCTGATTTTTCGTATAGCTGCTCGTCTATCCTTTCTTGATGTCCACTGAAAATTTCAAGTTTCTGTGATTTTTGGTTTCGGAGATATGACCTTGTTTTTCAGGTCATGCCATGACCCAAATGGCCAATTCTCAACATCTTGCGTTTGCCATGGGCGTTGTGAGCTTTTGACACCCTGATTTCGGCCTTTTTTGCCAGTCTTACCTCCCACCCAGGGGGCGTGAAGTCTAGTTCCTACCAACCTGGCACTCCCATGCCTACGTCACCACGAGGACGCCCGAGGGCATTTACATGTTGAAGATTTTTTTTTTTTTTCTAACTACACCGCCACCCATTAATAGGTGACCAGGAGTGCCCCCTCCCTCAGCCCAGCGACTCACAGAACCTTACTTTACCACCAGAGAAAACATAAAAATGGCAAAGTCGCGGCACTCCCTGCTAAGAAACGGAAAACAACTCAAAATAAGCAACCAGTCGGTAAGAGGAAGTATGGTTAGTTAGTTAGAAGAAGAAAAAAAAACGGCAAAAGATGTCCCCGCTGAAAGCAGCGGGAGACTAAATCACTACTTCCAATACCATGTTTTATGATGTAAAAGAACACTCATTCAGGGTTAGTAAAGGGACACATACATACACACAAAGCACAGGTTCTGGTCAGTATTCTGCAAAAGGTCATGTGTGACCGGATGAACCCTTCCAGCTAAGCAGAGCTTGTTGCTGGTCGGGGTCACCGGTCACAACGCCGTAAGGGTGGGTTCGGTGTAAAGCCACAGTCACTATGGCTGACAGGCTACGCTATACGAGTAGGTGTTTGGAGGAGTTGAATAAAAAACTGCAACGTGATACAACGCATGCATATTATTCTATTTGAAAGTACCTTATTTATTTGCATATTTTACTATTGATTATTGAACTTATGTAAACAAAAGCTACACAGGGTGTTCTAGGAAATACTCCTTACTTATTTTCTTTACTTGCAATTTAGACATGTTGATAATGCATTGAGCGTTAAATTGAGTTGCCATAATTTTATTCCAGATGCTAGGCCCAAGCCATGTTACATTACGAGTGCAGTATAATCTTTTTATAAATGGTTCAATGAACTGTTGACGATTTCTGGTCCTTGAATCGCTAGGGTCACTAAGGGTAAATAATCCACCAACAGATGATGGGAGAGAAAAAGAAAGCTTTCTGTGCATTAAGATAATAGCCTGCTGTTTTGCTATATTATGAACTTTGAGAAGCTTAAGGCTTTTGAAAATTTCCTCTGTGTGTGCTAAACGATGTTGATGAGTAATAATACGAATGGCTCGCTTCTGAAGCAACTCAATTTTGTTTAAGTAAGAAGGAAATGTGAATCCCCACACCACACAACAATAATTGATATATGGTAAGACCAGTGAATTGTACAAAAGAGTTAGCAAATGAGTATCAAGGAAAAATTTTGCTCTGCTCATTACCCCAATGTTACGACTGATAACTGTTGTTAAGTGGTCAATATGGAGATTCCATTTAAGGTTCGGATCTATAATCATTCCTAAGTACTTCACTGATTGAACAGCCTCAATAGGATCACCATTTAATGTTACATTAAGTTCTGCTGGATTGAGTGTATTATTGTAGATTTGATACACTGTTTTCTTTGTGTTGAGGCTAAGTTTATTTGCTTGCAACCACGTGCATATAATGGGCAATTCAACGTCAATCATATTTTGAAGCTGGAACGCTGTTCCACCTTCAAAAATGAAGACTGTATCATCTGCATACAGTAAACATTGTGCTGTTTTACAAATATTTGGAAGATCATTTACATAAAGTAAGAAAAGCAAAGGACCAAGAATGGAGCCCTGGGGTACACCAATGTTTACATTTTCTATTGAAGATCTTGCACTGTTATATTCTACGCATTGTTTTCTATTAGTAAGGTAAGATTCTATCAGGCTAAGTGCTTGCTCAACAATGCCATATTTGCTACATTTTCTTATTAGTATGTCATGATCTACAGTATCAAATGCTTTTTTTAAATCGATGTACAGAGCTATGGCAATGTTGCCTTTTTCAAATACTTTCATTATTGTATCCTGCAGGAGAAGTATGGGCATATATGTTGAAAGTGACTTTGAAAGCCAAATTGGCTAGCAGACAATATATTATGTTGCAAGAGATATTCCATGAGTCTTTTGTGAATTATCTTTTCAACAAGTTTTGAGATATAAGGCAAAATACTTATTGGTCTATAGTTACACATGCTGCTTTTGTTGCCAGCTTTGTAAATAGGTTTGACAACTGCAATTTTCATGTTTTCTGGGAAGATACCTTTTTCCAAGCAGAGATTAACCAAGTGCACAAGTTCAGGTATTATTGTAGAGTAGGTAGACTTGAATATCTTTGCATTTATACCATCTATACCTGAGCCAACATTTTTCATGGCTTTGATGATCGAGTTTAGCTCAGCTGAATTAGTAGGCTCAAATTTGGATATATGCTCAGCGTGATCACTTATTATATAACTTAAAGGGTCAGTGTTGCTTGGAGGAATTTCATTTTTCAGTTTTTCACATACTGAAATGAAATATTTGTTAAATGAAGCAGCTATGTCATTTTCATCATCCAGTTGTGTACCATTTTCATTGACAAAGCTACTGGGCAAGGACTGCCTACTGCATCCTCCCATGGCACATTTTTTCAAAAGCTCCCACATTTTCTTGGAGTTAGATTTATTTTCTTGAAATTGATTTTGGAAATAATTTTTCTTTGCTACTTTTATGATAATGTTAAGGCAGTTCCTATGCCTATTGTAGGCAAGCTTATTCTCTGTGGTTGGGTTTTTATTTTTTTCTTTGTACAAAAACACTCTCCTATTGATGGATGTTAGTATTGCTGGAGTTATCCATGGTTTTATAGCTTTACTTTTTCTTGTGCATTTTATTTCAGTGCTAAACATCTTTATTCCTGAGGAGTATGCATCTATGAGAATGTTTGAGGCAATGTTTGGATCTGTAGTTTGTGAGAAATTTTGCAGATGCTCAGTAATATAGTCTTTGAGATTGTCCATTCTGTTTTCATTGAAGATGAGCATATAAGTGTCATGTCTTTTGGCATCTTTGTGAGGGTAAGAGCAGGTAAAGATAGGAAAGTGATCAGAGAGATCTTCATATATAATCCCAGAGCAGGAGACCAGTTCAATATTGTTGCAAAAAATATTATCAAGCAGAGAACCCCTTTCATCAGAGATTCTTGTTGTTTTAAAGATAGTTGGCCAGAAGCCATGAAAAGCAAGTGTATTGAAGAATTCTAATGTTTTGTTATTATTTGCAATATTGAAGAGGTCATGGTTAAAGTCACCTGCCAGGAAGGTTGTCTTATTCTCATGATTTATATTCTCAAGCAACGATTCAAGTTCACAACAAAAAATGTCACTGTCCAAGTCTGGAGGTTTGTATATAGCTCCAACAATGCATGTTGGATAACTATCGACTTGGCATTCTATGATAACTGATTGAGTACATTGTAGGGTTTTAATTTTAGATCTGAGTGAATGTTTAACTGATTCAGTATTTACATAAATTGCCACCCCACCTCCTATTTTGCCATTCCTGTTCTCAAAATAACCTGTATATCCAGGAAGTTGTCTATTATAAATTTGGTCATCCGATAACCATGTTTCAGTGATGCAAATGATATGCCAAACACAATGACTTCTGGTCAAAAACAACTGAAGTTCTTCAAATTTATCATTTGAGCAAATAGATCTGGCATTTATATGAATGATATTCAAAAAATAGTGTGATGATTTATTTGTATCAAACATTGACGGAAGGGAGAAATAGCCACAAGAGGATTGTAGGGTTTTAAAGCTGTTGTCATCAACCTGCAGTTCAGGTGAGGTGATATTGGCAAAGGGATTAAATTGTTGGCTATTTATAGGTTCTGGGATATCAGAACACTCTACGAGGTTCATGACAAATGACTAGGTATACTGTAATTTAGGTACTATACCTTGTTTTACGGATTTTCTGATAGGACAGACCAAGAGACCAAAAAAAGCAGGCACTCTCGGTACTCGGGGAAGCCCAGTTCAAGCGTTTTGTCAGAGGGGCCAGATAAAAGAAGAACTTTAGTAGTGGGATTTATTTTTACACTAATTTCAAGCTAATTTTTACTATAAACTGCAATACTTTGTAATGCTTGAAATGTTG